TCTCTTAAGATACAGTGTTAAGTGGAAAAAGTGGGCACAGTATGCCAACTAGCATATAAGAGAGAGTGAAAATAAAAATATACATTTGTATTTGCTTGAATTTTCACAAGCAAATTCTGGAGAGACATAAAAACACTAAATAAGATGGCTACCTGTTTGCTGTTGGGGGTAGTGAGGAGGATAGGGTACCGGGGAGCTAGGGTGGGAGTGAGACTGTTCACTGTACACCATCTGTCTAGCTCTTAGTCCTGTTCGTGACGCCAGTTGTAAAGCTAGACGACCACACTAGTTGTCGCTGCTCTTTTACCTGGCAGTAATCCTGCACCGACTGGGCCAATGGTTGAGCTAGGCTGGGTCTGGAACTCCCAGACCCCTCAAGCCCATTCACAGACTGGGTCACACACCCTGCACATGCCTGGCTGGGTCACCAGACCCCTCCACGCAGGTCTGTGAGCTAGGTAACCGGCCACACGGTCCTTGGAAGCTGCAGGTCTGGAAAAACATGGCGTGCAGGGCGGGCGCCTGAGGCAGGAAACACCAGCCAAAGCAGCGCCGCCTTGCAGGGTCGCTTACTCCACCCACCCACACAATGTTACCAAACCACCCTGAACTGGCTCCAAGGTGAGGGGAGCCTGACCAAATTGTTTCATTTTCCCAACACCATCTATATCATTTTAATTTTTGTGCCACATGAATATACACTATTATATATTTTAAAAATAAATATAAAAGTAAATAAAAAATTCTAAGTAGTATATGCTCATTATAAAAGCAAAAGATATGGTATTATATAAAGTAAAAAGAGAAGGTCCTTCTCTTCATCCCAAATCCCATTCGCCCGGAATAATCATTATTAGAAGTTTGATATGTTTCCTTCCAGAATATTCTCTGTGCCCCTACAATTATTTCATGTATGTATATCTGTATACTTTTTATTTTGATTTTTAACCAAATTGGGATCATACACTAAGTACTACTCCACAACTCCCTTTTATCAAAACTCAACATATTATTACAGTATGGAAAGAGGGACAAAAAACACTAGTTTCACAGTGGAGAAACCTGACACGTACTACCTTAGCCAGGTAGTCAACGTCAACAGTAATAAATTATGTGGCTAGTATGTACCCTTAATATAACATAATGAAAATGGCACTTTAACTCTGATCTTCTTCCCCCAAACCCATAACTCCAGTCTAATCATGAAAAAAACATCAGACAAATCCCAGCAGAGGGGCTTCCTACAATATACCTAACCCGTGTTCCTCAAAACTATCAAGACCATCAAAAACAAGGAGTCTAAAAACTGTTACAGCCAAATGGAACCTAAAGAGACATGACAACTATATGTAATGTGGTTGTCTGTACAGGATCCTGGAACAGAAAAAGGACGTGAGGTAAAGAATGAGGAAATCTGAATAAATTATGAATTTTAGCTAATATAATGTATTAACATTGACTCATTAATTGCAACATGTACCATACTAATATAAGATGTTAATGGGGGGAATTGTGCAGAGCTACGTAGCAACTCTGTTCTATCTTCTCAACTTTTTCTGTAAATCTAAAAATGCACTTAAAAATAGTTTATGGGAAAAAACCCTAAGATATCATTCTTCCTTCTTTTTTTTTGCAGCAGATTGCAGAAACTCCGCTTTCTTCTCTTACTTGCTTCTTTTCTCTTCTCTATGCCTTGCAGTTCTGCCCACTTCTACCATGTGTGCACACATACAAGATTACCTTCAATGTGAGATATGCTATATTTTGATATTCCTTTCCACTGTGTCCCTGGACAAGCACCAGTTTTTTTTTGTTTTTTGGTTTTAAGGTTTACTAGCAAATATAGAAATAAGAGTCCAGAAATTTTACAAATGTGTTTCCTGACTTCTGAATATGGAAGTCCAATAAGCTTCTGCCCTCTTCTTTTCTACCTGGGATGAGGTCACCAAATTCTCAGCACCCTCCCTCCTCTCCAGGAAGATGTAATTAAGGCTCTTGCCTGTTTTTCTAACAGGTACCTTCTATCATCAGCACTGGCCTGGTCATCAGTCTCTATGGCATAACACGTTGAAAAGAAAGGTAGGGGGCCATGTCTTATCTGCCTTAACACTTGTTCAGCACCTAATACAGTACCTAGCTCACAGTGAAATGTAATAAAATTTGTTAAGCTAAACTCTAGTTGCAGGGATATATTTTCCATTGGGACTCCTTCCCACAAGGAATGACCACCTTTGGTCATTTCTTCATGACACTTAAAAAAAAACAAAAACCCACACTACTTACAAACCTATATTACTTAAAAAAAAAAAAAAAAAGTAAACCTATATTACTAAGTTATTCCAACAAAAGGAAGTATCCAGTAAGCAATTTCTAAAATGTCACTAGAAATCTTTTAAAAGCCTATTTTAGGGGGAGGGGAGAGGGGGCTTTTAAGAAAGAGCCTATCTTAGAAGATGTTTCTTTTAAAAGCCTATTTTTACCAATCAGTGTCAATTCCACTCCTCATATTAACTCTATCCCTTTCTGACTGGATTCTGATCACCGCTGGTGTACTTGTTACAGTCCCAACAAACCAATTTCTAGTCAACAGCATGTAGAGATCCTCACTGCTTCCAAAACAAGGCATATTTCCTTCCTGGAATGCTCTTTCCCCAGAACCTTCATGACCCTTCCCTCATTCCCTAAAGTCTTTCCTTAAATAACAGTAACAATTCATCCTATTTTAAACTCAGCACCCCTTCCCTTCCCGTACCCCAACTCTACACTCCATGTTACTCTTCTCCACTTCATTTTTCTCCACAATATTTAACCACTGTCTGAGATATTTTACTTTTCCTCTAGAATATAAACTTCACAAGGGCCGAGATTTTTGTTTTAAATACATGAGCTGTTGCTATTAAAGCCAAATCTATCCAAAACTAATTGGTCAAAATGAGTATCATATTACTAGTTGCTGTTTTTTCATGAACTGGTAATTTGGTACAATCCAGTTCTCATATCCCTTTCCCCTTTTCTAGGCATTTCTTCTTTAATCAATATACTACTGAAGCTTGCTTTATAATAAATTAAAAAATCCATCAAGAGTTCAGATCCACTTACCCAACAGCCACAAACAACCAACTAATCAACCTCCCCCCAACCCCGTAAAAACCCCAGGTCTTTGCAATTGCAATGACTGCTAGAGGTATCATGCAGGAAACAGCAGAAAATGGGTCTTCTTTTATGCTGAAACAATAGTTCAAGCAATTGTTAGGGGTCAC